ACCTCTGAGACTATCACAGTGCAGGTGCATTTATATGGAGACTTGATTACACACAGGTGGATTCTATTTATCATCCTTTGTCATTTAGGTCAACATTGGATCATTCAGAGATCCTCACTGAACTTCTGGAGAGCGTTTGCTGCACTGAAAGTAAAGGGGCTGAATAATTTTGCACGCCCAATTTTTCAGTTTTTTATTTGTTAAAAAAGTTTGAAATATCCAATAAATTTCGTTCCACTTCATGATTGTGTCCCACTTGTTGTTGATTCTTCACCAAAAATTACAGTTTTATATCTTTATGTTTGAAGCCTGAAATGTGGCAAAAGGTCGCAAAGTTCAAGGGGGCCAGATACTTTCGCAAGGCACTGTAAATACAAAAAGGTTACAAGCAATGAAAGTAATCTGAGTCATAACTCTGTGTTGCATTTTGCAGTATCCTCTTGCCTTTTTGTCCAACTTCAGTCAGTGGATGTGCTGCCATGCGTGGCTGTACAGGTTGCTGGCCTGCATGGACCTCTCAGAACTGTCAGCCCCGCCCAAGCTGGTCACCAGAGGAGCTCGTGTCTTGGTGAGGAAATCAGGCACCCATGCAGCAGATGGATGCACTGGTGATCATATATCTGTGTCAGCAGCCATGTTGTGCAGGACACAAATATATTCTCAGTGTTTATTCATAGAATTGCTGCTGTAGTAGTTTGTTTCTACACTGATAAAGCTCATGACATGATTTAAATTTTAAGGTATCTTCAAGTGCTCTATATATTATCTGTTATGAATAATAACTGATAACATGAGTATAACTGCATGTGTCTGCACAGGTTGCTGATGAGTACCTGGCTCCTGATGTTCTCAGCACAGTGAAGGAGATGAAGGCGGTCAACTTCAGACGAGTGCCAAAGATGTGCGTTTATGGAGTGGCTCAGCCAACGTTGAAGGTGCAGCAGATTCCCTTATACTGTCATCATATTAATACAGAAGCTCTTATCTACTGTGATAATAAAAACATAAATCCCAAACATAATCTTGAAGATTATGCCAGACTTTCAACTCCTGGTCATGTAATTGTAAACTTTGTGTGTGCAGGCTACTGGAGCAGCGCTGGCACACCTGACAGATGAAAAAAGGAAGCACAGCCATGTGTTGTGGGTCAACTTGCAGGAAGAGCTGGTGTTGGAAGGAAATGGTCAGATGTTCACACCAAGGGAGCCTTCGTGTGTGGACCAGCACATTCCTATTCCATCATCTGACCCACAGCTAATAGAGGTAGAGTGGAAATGATGTTTTCCAGATGCTTTTTAGGGCTCTTACAATTAAACTAATGATCAAGAGTGCCTGTAGCAGTCACTAGTTTTCCATCACAAGCATTAGAATTTGGCTTCAAATAGATGACATGAAAGTGCTTTCATGTAGAAACTGGAGATGTCTCTGAAGGAGGAGATCTTGCAAGCGCAGAAGTGGCTGGAGGTGACGCTGGAGCAGGAGAAACAGATGAAGATGTTTAAAAGCTGCATGACAGTCCAGGAGATCTTCAAATATCACAAAAGCTCCCACCAAGGCCTTGTCTACAAGCGCATCCCTCTGCCAGACTGCAGCGCACCCAGGGAAGAGGTAATGATATAAATGAGCATACATACTGGATACTTGCAAACATGTAGGCATAAGGTGCAGAAGTAGTTTTTACTTTTTGTTTTTAGCCATTTGTGATGCTGAGAGGTGGCAGTTGAATAGGCCTTTTGCTCCCTCTAGTGGTCAAGATTGTTACTCTTGTGCTGAGCTTTTCACCTGCAATAAAAAATCTAATCACTGTATTGCATTTTTTCACAACCACTCATATTGCACTTCATTATTTTGTTCATTATCATTTATTCATTTTGAAAATTTCTAATTTGATTTGTTTAAATCTAGAATTATAAATCACCTTAAAGCAGTTAGATTGAGCATTTAATATATTTATTTATTTATTTCAGTAATATGCATGATGTCTGTTCCCAATAAAATGTAATTCAATGAAGATTTGCATAGATAAGTCAATACATATATGTTGTTGTACCTTTGATTGACTTCCGTCTTGTAGAGAGTCAAATAGAGAGATGTGGTAGAATTTGTCTGTGTCTTTGTACATGAGCTCTGTGTGTGGGTGTTCTTGTTCTCAGGATTTTGATAAGCTGTTGGAGGCCATGAAGTGTGCCTTGGCTGAGGACTCCCACTCAGCCTTCATCTTTAACTGCTGCAATGGCAAAGGCAGGACCACAACCGCCATGGTCATCGCAGTTTTGACTCTCTGGCACTTCAATGTAACACGCTTCCTTGAGTTTTCTAATATTCATCAAGGCCCTCAGTATTTCAATAACATTTTAGCTAAAAATGTTGGCTACAGTGTTTTGTTAAATAATATATAACCACGCCTTGCACCTTCAGGGTTTTCCAGAGTTTGCAGATGACGAGATTGTGAGCGTTCCTGATGCCAAGTACACAAAAGGAGAATTTGAGGTATGTATGACTTTTGTACAGATTGAGTCAATGAAGGCAAAGAGAGCAGCAAAACCTATAGATTATAATTTGTCAAACGCCTTAACTTTTCTTCAGGAGATGTGTGTAAGGTTTTCTGTATTTGCTTGTGTTCATAACTGAATTATTATTAGGAGGACAACAATTGTAAAGTTCATTGTTGACATCTGCTGCATCACCTGTTCCTCCAAACAAAGAGTGCACACCATACAACTGGTTATTAAAGGGATGCTGTGCTGCAACCCTTCTTTGTTTCCCAATCTCCAAGTCTGCACCTGTGATTGAAAGCGCTGGGCAAACAAAGCCAGAAGCCCAAGACTTTTCTGCTCTCGTGTGAATGGTGGCTGTGATTTGGAGCCACTGGGTATTTCTCTTGATTCACAGTTGTGACAGTGAATTAGCGGGAGGGACCTGTTGGCTCTCTCCTCAGTACTGCAAATACAGACACTCAGAAAGAGGCCGCGCTCTGCAGGCACAGAATGCCGCATGCCAATCACAGCAGCACGGCCACCAGAGTTTCTGGGATACACAGAGCAGTTGCCATGGAAACCCACGGAAGCCCATTGCCTTATCTGCCAAAGGAGATGTTGCTATGACTGTGGGGTCCAAAACATTATGTGATGGAAGAACAGCTGTGGTGTTAGATAATCCTTTCCTGGTGTGATTTGGTGTACTGTTAGGTTACATCTGTATAATTTAACTTTTAATAACAAATTATAATAATAATTTAATAACATAACAACATATCAGCTGACAACGGGAAAACCATGTGAGTGGAAACAAGACAAGGCAGCTCACACCTATCTGATGCTTGTGTATTTTTGAAGCTGTAAGACATTTCAAGTTTTTTGTTTTTCATTCCATTCCATTCATTCATTAATTCAGATGAGTCCTTTTCTTAGCTACTTAAAGTGGAGGCTTTTTGTTATTTTACAAACCAATAATAATATAAGAATTATAAGCTCAGTCCTACCTTTGATCAGTTTAAAAAGACAGTGGTGGTAGACAAGTCATTTAAAGAAAGAAAACTTCATAGATTTAGTTGTTGTGTAAAGTCAGTCTGTGAATTAAAAGCCATGTTGATTTTCAGTAGAACACCTAGCAGGTAAGAAAAAAAACTGTTGTACCTCTGGAGAAATCTTGGCACATGTACAGTAGGAGTTTTATGCAAACTTGCACAGTGTGTGTGTGTGTGTGTTTCTCCCCACAAAGATAGCGGTCAGGCTGAATACTGATGCTGCTAGTCTGGCACACACTGCATGAGAAAGAAGGTTTTTACCTCCAGGTCTAAGGAGTGCAGCCAAAGTTAGCTAAAGAAAGCACTCACTTTTACACAGAATAAACGTTTTTGATTTTTTTATAATGTAGGTTTTATTATTTCATAGAACTGGGGCGTTGGTTTACTTTTTACCTGTATTTCAAATGTGCCACCAGTCTGTGCCCCAGCCTGATTGGAAGCAGTTTATACATTGATCTCACTATTAGGAAGATCATGTGATACAGTATGTATGAAAGCTCCACAGTAACGAAATAGACTGTAATTGCCTTGTCAGATGTTGTTTCTAAGATCATCTTGGGTAAATAAAGGCAGTTGTATCAGAGTCAGCTTGTTAAATGTTGCGGTATTGTCACAACTTAGGAAACATTCTTGTAACAATCAGCTGGAATTGTTCTGATTGTCCAGGTCGTGATGCAGTTGGTGCGTCTGCTCCCTGATGGCCACAGGATGAAGAGGGAGGTAGACATGGCTCTGGATTCTGTCAGCGAGACCATGACTCCCATGCACTACCACCTGAGAGAGATCATTATCTGCACATACAGACAGGTACACCATGGTCCCTAAGATACTACTCACTTTAATTTAAATAGGTCTTGAACAGGTGGAAGTTCAGTCTGAGTGCAATGAAAACAAAAAATGAAGACAGCAGGTTAGATTTAGGTTTAGTTTAAGGTCATGGTTGGGATCAGAGTTAGTTTGAAGGAGGGGGACCACACCAAGACCATGGCAACAGCACTGGGCTGTGAAGCAAATCTGGCATAGTGGCCAAACTGTGTTACTACAACTTCTGCATTCATCACGTGGCACACACCAGCCCAAAAAGCATTTTCCCCATAGAAAATCACTGGAAAAGGAGCAGCTGTAAAATGGTGAATACATTTTTCTGAGCATCACAAGCCCCGCGAAATGACTCTTTTTATTATCAGAATTTTATTCACTGGGTCCGATATTATTTGGAAAGTCTAGTTTAGCTGTAGGGTATTTTATTTTATCCCATTCATGTGTGTGTGGAGCCAACTGGAAGTCGCCCGGTTCATCTGGCCCAAAAACATGGAAATGTGCAAAGCATCCAGGCAATTTTTATAGCTGGAATCCAGAAGCATGATGACTTTGTTTGTTTTTTGGAGTATGGGCAACTTTCACAGGAATGGTGGTATGCCATCTAGCAATGCTGTGTCCAGTTCTTCATTAATACATTCCTGGACCACATATTGAAGATTAAGTACCACGTGTGGTCAAAAGTATCTTTGACACTGAAGTGTTCCTTTGATAACATATTTAGTAAATCCAATGAGACAAATAACAAATACTAATCTCTTTCATGCTGGGACGCAGTCAGCATGTTAATATGGATTCACTTGCAGTTCCACATGAGCCCCAGAGGTGGCAATGAGAACTTGGTTTAATGTCTCACAGCTTGGATCACAGAGACATGAATGAGAGAGCTCCAGTGTTTAGCAGGCACGAGCTGCAGAGCATGGAAAAATGACTGTGGTGCATCATGTTATCTTCTAAAACTCAGTGAAATTCCTTTGCTTCTTAATGGAAAACAGGGAAAACAGCAGGAGAAAATTTGGAGGCTTTACCTCTTTATGTTTATTATTTTGTTCTCTTCATAGTTCAGGTAGTGTTAAATAGCGTATCATATCGGTGTCCGCTGCTTAGATTGCTGCATGCATTGTATGTTTTTTAATTGGGGGGGGGGGGGGGGGGGGGGGGAGAAAGACAGCAGCAACTCCATGGTGTTTAAAGACCTACAGTATCTAAGACAAGGTCTCTCCTGATGCTGTGGCCTCTGCAGGACCACGGCTCTGTTGTAGCCATTTGTAATGCAGATTGTAATCATTGTGCCTCTGTGCACTGTCAGCCGTTCCCAGCACACTGGAGGCACCCAGTCCTCTCTCCGACATATCAATGGGTCTCATTGTCCCATTAACTCTGACTTTTGCCTATATTCTCTCTTTGTCTGTCATTTTCTGATGCCAGGTTCCAGGAGAAAGCTTGGTTTCAGATTCCTCTAAAATATGCTTGTATTTTCTAGTATTGCAAGGTAAAATGCACTGATCTCAGCCACAGTTTAAAATGATATTTTTGGTTATAAATTAGGTCTTTGTTTTGTAGTTGTGACAATTATTCTTCTCAGTAGTGCAAGTAACTAACAACATGATGGCCAAAATGACAGGAATAGCACCAAACTGTGATAAATCAGATTTCTTTTAGCCCTGCAATAGCAGACCTCAGGTTGGCACTTTGCTCCCCTTTCACCCTTTCCCCTACTACCTGAACCAGCAGACCAGGTGATAAACAGTGCCAGATGTTGCTAGAACCTGGCAGGAGGCAACAAATGAAAGAGGGGGAGAACAGGGGAAAAAAATTCAACCCCCAGTCTCTCTGTTCTTGTAGCCCACCCTCCTCCCCTTTGACAGTGGTTGGAAAATGTCTTTGATAGAGGAAAAATATATATTTAAACTGGGACCTGAACCATCCATGAGCTCCCAGAGGGGCCAGGGAAAAGGGGTGGGGGTATCTTTTTGAAGGGCCTGTAAATCCCTGCTGCCGACCACGTGTGACCCCAAATTGCAGATGCATCCTAACATCAGGGCCATTGCAGTGAGACTACTTAGTCTCCTCCACTCCTCCCCTGTGTCCTGCAGAGAATCAACTGCAGGGGCCTTTTCTTTCCATTGTCAAGCCAGTGTGAGGTAGAAAATCATCTCAAGCAATCTGTCCACATTGGCATTGGCTTTACATTTATTCTCGTTCTTTGCAGAGCTTTGTGTGTTACATGTGTGTTACATTTCATATGATGCAGACTGGGTTTATTGGATACTTAGAAATGTTTTGGAATCAGGGAGCCTGATATTGAAACACATTTCTCATTTGTTGCACCAACATCTGTACAATCACCTAATGTACATCTCTGAGCTCTCTGATGGCAAGTTTTGTTTTCTCTTTTTATTATGTGCCTCTATCATCCTGATGTGTTATCAGCATAGCCCACTTCAGCAGTTTCTGTCATTTAGCTCGTGCACGCCTAGTGTTAACTTTCAGACCACCGGGTGTGGGTTTAAGATGTTTTCCAGTATTAACTTGGCTTCAAAAATTTAATGCCTCTTCACTTAGGTGGTGAAAAAACTGAAATACACATAGCGAGAATGAATGAGCGACAAGTCATACTGAGCGAGTGTGTGTGTGTGTGCTCACAGAAAAGCCCTTATGGTTTGGAAGGCGCAGTGGAAAAACATTTTCAGAAAGGGGAGAATGCTGTGAGCAGGTTTTCATGAGGAAAGGTTGTGGATGTTTTAAGAAAGAAGAAGGGGGAAACAAACGAGTGGTAGATGCTTCCAGTGTGCAGAGGTTGAGGGGACCACCATAGCACTGTTAGCCCCATTAATGTTTACGAAGAAAGAAGAACAAAGGCATCAGAAAGGAAGCACGAATATGTGAATGAGAGGCAGTCATGCTCTAAGGTTATCAAAGTACACTGCACGCTTTGGAAGTAGCACTGTATTTTGCACCTTTGCACTTTAATGTCTCCTGTCTTGTAAATGCTCCTTTGGATCAAGGGTCTTTGTGGTAGGTTTTCTTCTCACTTAGGATGACTGCATGACATAAGTAGGCTAATTACAATTTGGTGACAGCCAAAGGAAATATTAGCAATAAAATGAGCCCACCTGTAGCAGAGACAGGTTCTTCTTCCCTGCACTGAGTTGACTCCTGAAAAGAGACTCCTATTTTGATCCAGTGCTGGGTGAGAGGGAGGAGCAGGTTGAGAGCCAGAGGTTGTTGTTTTTATTCAGAATTTCCAGCCTCTCACATGCCAATACCAATAGCAGCATTTGGTGTGGCCATCCACAAAATGACTTATTTTGACTGAAACCCATCTGAGCAGGTGCAACCAGCTAAGTGATGTGGACATGGATAACACCGTTTCACTGTGCTGACATTTAGGTCAGAGAGTAGGGAGTTGTGATACAGTTATATGTGTGTGTGTGTGTGTGTGTGTGTGTGGCAGGACACATACAGAGCAATAAAGCATCTCATCAGTTTCAGAAGGCATTTGGCAAGCAGCTGCTACAAGCCAGCTGCTATTTGGGAGCTTATTTATTTTAAGGCTGGCTTTAATACATCTAGTGTTAAGTGTGCAGACAGTTGCGTAACATGACATGATCCATTCGAAGGGTGTAACGCTGATTCTAGCCTCTGTTGCTGATGATTTATGAGGTTTGTTTAGAGTCTGCAAAGAGTAGGTCTGCGTGTACGTGATCTCTGTGCAGGTTTCATATTGTCTGGCCAATCACACTCCTTTTAAATTATGATTCAGGGGTATTCATAGCCACGTGTGCTGTGGAGGTCTGAGTGTATGCAGGTTTTTGTTCACGCCATGTGCTGCACCAGGTGGTTTCACTGATTAGCACATCTTCAACCAGCGAAGGGGAACTAATCAGTGAAATCACCTGGTGCGCTGCGACGTCAGAATAAGCACTCAAATGAGTCAAACCCCCCCCAAATTATAATCATTTTCAGGTTGCTTATTATTTTAACTTCCCTACCACCATGGCCATGTTGAAAGTTTAATTGCATGGCCATGTTGTACTGTATAGTTCCACTTCACCATTTTGCTATGCCGTTATATACACGAGCGTGTTCTCCAGCGGCTGTGATTTAAAATGTTATTTTTAACAGACTAACACTCTACAATCAGAACTTCTCAATACTGTCAACATCTGGTTTCTGACTTTCCATTTTGGTGATTTAGTCATAACCTGATATCATTATAGTAACCATAAGTGAAGCATAAAGTGGATTGTTAGTATACCATATTTACAGGTAAGTAGACTTAGTTTTGAGTTTATGTGGCACAGTATCCCACCTACAGCGTAGCTCAATACAACATACAGCAATCAGCCGTAACATTATGACCACCTCCCTAATACTGTGTACACAGGAGTCAGTGTGGCAGTTGGTTGGCACTCGTGTCACTCGCTGTTCATCTTCTATGAATCTGTTTGCTTCCATAGTTCTACTGTCAGGAAGAGCACCAATGTGTCGAGCATTCAGTGAAAAACCTATTTAAAATGAGTAAAAACTGTGGTGGTGAGGACAAGTTAGAGATCATTTTTTTAGACAAATCAGCAGCCTCCCCACTCTAGGTGTGATATCATAGCCGCTGATAGTTTCTCTTCATAGAGACCAATGTACAGTGTTTCTCATTTTCCATCATTTTAACAAAGACTGAAACAAAATGGAATCTTTTGAAAGGGATGAATGAAATTGAAAACTTTAATCTACAGTAGTTCAACCTCATTATCACAGAGCCTTGGGCATTCATGACCCTGTCGCCGGTTCACTGTTTGTCCTTCCTTAGACACTGTTGGTAGGTACTACCCACTGCAGACAGGAACACCCAACAAGACCTGCAGTGTGGGAGATGCTCTGACCCAGTCATCAGCCATCACAGTTTGGCCCTTGTTAAAGTCGCTCACATCTTCACGCTTGCCCAAGTTTTCCTGCTTCCAACGTGTCAACTTCAAGGACTGAATGTT